CTAAGAGCCAATCTTCAGATCATCTTTTTTCCAGTTCAATTTACATAAATTTTTCACATCATTAACTTTCTCACAGATTTCAGGTCACTGTTCTTTAGCTTGACATTAAGAGCTCTTCTTGGACCTTTAGTTTTCTCACCAGTAAGAACAGCCATTTAGTGAGATACATTTACTTCATATATGTGTTTCCTACACATTATCCACAACATTGGCAATTTCAAAATATGTGTAAGAATTCGGACTGCTCATTTGACTCCGCCTGTATTGCTTGCTGTTGTATCACAGCATATACCAATGATCTAATCTTTACATCCATAATATTTTAAAATATTGTGCACTTGTTCTGCTTGGTCAACTCCCTTTGAAGAGGGACATTGAACAACACCGAAAGATGGTCTTCCATGGCATCGTCATCCGGGCAACTCACTGAAACTGCAAGCTGCTCAATTTTTTGAATAATGTTAAGCCCAGTAGTAATTTGTTCCAACAGTTTGGTATCAAAATGAAGAATATACCGTTGGCCTTTCAGATGATTAGTTATTGAAATCCACTCCAAGTCTTCTTCAAGCTCTACATATTTGAACTTTTTTCTTAGAAGGTGATCAAACCATGGAAAGAGTTAAACGTAAATATTTTAATGGAAATAATTTGCTATTACTTAAGTTACTTTATATCGGAAAGAAAATCTCACTGCTAAATAAAGTGTTATTTAATGAACTTACTTTATATCTTCCAGCTTGGCGTTATCTGTTTTCAATCTATCAGCAATAATATCTTTTTATAAGTTCTTAGTCGAGATGTTATAAAGCTGATAGGATATTGTGAGGAAATCTCTCTAACTTTGATTGCTTATCAAGGCTGCTGTTCCAGTTTAGAAAAGACAATTTAATTACTTTCTTGTATTTTAAATTAAGTTTAATGATTTTGGTCTTTATATTGTAACCAGAAATCACAAATTTCTTGTCAAACCCAGCATTATCCCATATTTTTTTAATCCTAGTTACCAAGCAAGAATTATCAGGATCTGTACAAACCTCATTTTCACAAACAAGATCCTTGGATTTCGATTTCAATTTGCAACCAACATTAGTAGAAGTAGGTTTGTATTTAACCTGTGACTCGCAAAGGATAAATTGATAGTATCTTAGAATAAATCACCATTAGATTAAAGCTGTCTCTGAGGTAAACCCCTCATGGGTACTTCAATAGGTAAATATAACTCAACCCCTCTGAATTTTTCCGTTTTTTCTTATTCTGTACCATCATCTTTATTTTAGCTGTTCTACCCATTTTTTTATGAATTTTGAAATAATCAGTTTTTTAACTAAATTTATACTAAATTTTACACTTGAAACAAAAATCTATGAAGTCGTTATTCCCTCTCGTATCATATTTTATCTAAGTTTACCGTTACGGCTTTTATAACCGTTTACACAAGAATTTTTTCGTGGACAAATTAGAATTCCTTTGTGCACAAATAATTCCATTTAGAAACTTTTTCCTTCAAAAAAAAAATTTATGAACCAATCCATGGGGAATTATACCAACTAATAATATTCTCCAGAAGGAATTATATCAATCGCTAACAATGTTCATAGGGAATGATGTTAATCTTTAATAATATCCTATGGGAATTGTTTGTGTACTAATTATTACATCGTATTAAAACAAATTGAAATACTAGATAACGCTGTTTTTATGTAAATACACATGTGTACAAAACCGTAAAATTCAGAATTTACATCTATCACTTCTAGTCATTAAAAAATTAAAAAAAAGATTTTAGTAGCTATTTAGGACCTATAGAATGGGGATCAGTTGAGAGCACATTGAAGTTTTAAAAAAAGTGTGTTTTTGGGACACCCTACTGAGCACTGACTAGGATCAGAAACAAGACAAGACAAGTCGAGTAGAGAAGGTAAACAATTTGAATTGTCTGAAAAACGATTTGGAAAGTTGACTATATAAGTCAAAGATTGAGAAAGGCAAAAGTTGTGGGCCTTAACGCCTGCATATTCACTGACACTAGAGCCAAGCTATTCAATGTTATGTACATTAAAGTCACCACCAACAACAATCAATTTAATCAAAAATAACATCAAAAAGAGTGCAGTCTTGAAATGAAGAAGATATAGAATAAAGAAAAAGGCAATAGTGTGAAGTGGTGGTAAACGAAAGCAAATAGAAAAACGGTCTGTGAATTTAAGCCTAGTTTCCCGACAAATGGGTGAATTTTTACGAATGTAAATGCCGAGACCAAGCATGTGACAATTGGAGTTTTTACGAATTAAAGGATGATAACCATCAACACTTCACAGGATGAGACAGCTGAATTATTAATAAAATTTTTTTGCATCCTCATCATTTCAAGAGTTTGTTGCAAAGTAACTCCAATCTTTAAAATAGGGGATCGTATAAATATAACAAATTATCGCTCTATTTCAGTTCTTCCAATTTTTTCAAAAGTTTTAGAAAGAATAATGTACAATTGAATCTACTCTTACAATCGAATCTACTCTTAATGAAAACCTATCTTGGAGAAATCATATTGATAATAACCTCCTATAAAATTGCTAAATGCATCGGAATTCTCTATAAAGCAAGAAATAAATTAAGTAAACACCAGTAAACACAATTATATTATTCATTTATACATTGTCAAAGAAGCTATTATAATATTATATAGGGAAGCCTCATAGAACAATTTCTGTATCTTCATCAGAAACACGCAGAAAACAATCTTTATGTGGATTTGTAAAAAATGAAAACCGTTTAAGATAATTTGCAACATCTAATCAAAGTGAAACTTATTGGTTCAATGCCGAAATTAGCAACTGCATGTGTTCTCTTTGTAACACTTCCAGTAACTAATCGAGTGAACGCTCCTTTTCAAAACTAAGATCATTGAAACCTACATACGGTCAACAATTTCTCAAGATTGACTTTCTGGATTGGCTTTACTACCAATAGAAAATAAGGAAGCTACACTTTTGGACAATGTAAAAGTCATTGGAGATTTTGCAAATAAAAAATCACGTGTAAATAAATGCTGAATGAAAAGTTCCTTATATTTTGAAGCAAAAATTATAGAACAAAATTTTATAAATAAGAATGTAATCAATAGCTCAACAACCACATTTTCTTACACCATTTTTACAGTACAAGTATAACTGATGATGCCGAAGATACGACGTTGATAGAAAAAAAACTGTTAGTGTTAGGAGCAAATTTTTTATTTCTCATCCAACATTTCCCTTTCTTGTGTCATTAATCCGCGTAATAATAAAAAAAGTTAACGCGTCCTTAATCTGTTTGGAATAAAAGAATAGCTTTTTTATTGTTTTAAATACGTTTAAAAGCAAGAAGTAAAACATTAAAAACAAGTTGTAAAACATAAAAAAAGGAAAATAGTAAGTGTAAGTTTGAATAGATCTTAATAAATAAATTACGGAGCGCGATAAAGAAAACGAAGAATCGTTTTCATCATCATTATATTCTTTATCACTTTTTACTGACACAAAATCAGTGGCGTCACTACGGTGAGCGAGCCGCACCGGGTGACACCAGCACGCCCTGACACAGAGGAGTGACACCAAATTAAAAATAAAAATTTCACAGAACTGCTCATGCTTGTGTTAACTTATTTATTGCGTTTGCACTAACTAATAATTTTGCATGTTTACGTTTAAGTAAATTTTAATGTTTATGTTTAAGGTTTTCCAAAATATGATTTTGTCATTAAGTATTCCAAGAAGTTTAGTTGTTTTGGTACTTTTGATGTTTACATTTTCTATATTTAGTGAAAAAGTATAGTTGGTGAACAACTTATTTTTTTTTAATTAATACTATTTATCACGACCAATGTTGAGACGATCAAGACATGAACTTGATTTTATTTTGAGTATGAAAATAATGCAAACAAGCCAATATTTGAAACATTAAAATGTAAGATGAAATGTAATCACAAAAAAATTCTTTTCGGAAACTAAAGGTTATTTTAGTGTGATGACAGTGTAAAATATTTAAAGTATTTAATGGTATAAAAAAAACTTTTTTAAGGTTTAGTTTAATAACTATGTGATATTAATTACTTTATATCAGAGTTGCTAGTCCTTGGCTATGGTCTTAAAACTGTTGGCCTTGATTGTTTTAGCTTACAAAAAAAAAACACAAAAAAAACATAAAATTAAAGAATTAAAAGTTTTCATTCTTTAATTTTATGTATTTTTGTTTTCGGTTTTCATATATATCTACAAGTATATTTTCTTATTAACATCGTTGAATTCCGCGCCATAACCTTGGTTTATTTTTATAACATGTAATTTTATTGTCACAGCAATTGTTACTTACAGTTATATTAATAATTGGCCTTAACGTATCACAAAAATTTTTAAGCAATAAAACTTTGCCTTCGTAAGACAAAGTTTTATTTGGTCTTGAAAATGTTAACGTAGGCCTTGAAACTCATATTCTTGGCCTTGACCTTAAAACTCTTGTCCTTGTAATATATTGCCTTGGCCTTGCTACTTTTGGCCTTGTTAATAACTCTGCTTTATATTAATATTTTTATAATAAAACACATTACAAGTTATGAAAATTTTGAACTTTTATTATAAGAATTATTATTAAAACTGTATCACAGTAATTTTGTTACTTGGTTAGATTTCAAATTTTATCGGTAGATTTCTTTCTAAATACTTTTAAACTTCAGTTCCGACGAATGACTTTAAAAGCAGCAGATTTAGTTCCGTGAAATAATGAAACATTAGGTTAAGCATATAAAATAAAATCAATAAAAAATATTACCATATACATTTTTTATAAAACATTCCTAATAATTAATATATACATATACTTATATGTATGCTATTGTTTGATAAATTTACTAAAATAATTCCTAACTATAAAATTACCTGTGTAAAATTTTTGGAAAACACAAAAATAACTCACGCAATACTGACCTTAATTTAAAAAACAACTTAAAAAAATAAATTAGCAACTAAACAAAAAATTAATGTGATTTTTCAAATAATTCTAACATTTTTTATACAATTACACTTCCTCGTAATGCCCCAAGTTCTGATTTGTTAGCAGTTTGGCCGAATTACTACTTCTCTGCCGTTTTCGGAAATCATTTATTTTTTCCGTTTCAGCATTAAGTTCGTTAATCAGTTGATTTTTTTTCTTCTCAAAATCTTCGCTAGAATTTTTAGTAAACGAATCAATAAAAAATATATCTCAAGCTTTATGATTAGTAAGCAAAGTAAATATAATGAAATAAATTATTTTATTTCTAAAAACTCATAAATTATGAATGCACGAGCATATATTTATTAATACAATGCATAAATTATGGTCGATGTTTAGTTAAAACAATTTTATCACCTTTTCTTTTTTAACTCGAACTCATTTTTTGCCGTCTGGAAACAATCAGCAAAAATGTTGTTACTATTGTCTTGTTTTGTTTCTTGTTTAGTTGAAGTGTTTCGTCCATCAAATAAACTTTTTACCTGAAGTTCATTTTGTTTTATTAGCGTATTTCTACATTCGTCGTATTGATTTTTTCCTTGTAACTTATTTTGAGACAACAGTAAATCACTTTTTTCGGATTGGTCTTTTGTTAACGAACGCCTTGGGATTTGAGGACTAGTAACAAATTTACGAGCATCTGCAGATAACGAGGATAGTGTATCTTGAAAGAGTGAACTGTCTAATTCTAACAAATCTGACGAAGGCTTATAAAAAGGAGAACTTTCTTGGGAATTATGGGTAATATCATCTTCATTGTTCGGAGTGGAATCAAAATTACTATCGTTTATTACAGGAGGGCGTCTAGATATTATGGGTGTTGAAAACGGTGGCGGACGAGGCGGTGGAGCAATTTTAGGTTTTTTTTTATATTCGATTTCAGTAGATTTGATTGTAAAATCCTGTAAAACTGTCGTTTTTTGATTAATACCACATTGTTCTTTAAACAAATTTTTATTAACATCTTCATTGATGAGAGAAGTTTTATACTAATAAAAAAAAAGAAAAAAGCATACTTTTTCAGTTTAAAGAATTAATTAACAAAAACAAAAAAATTTATAATTACTTTATTCTTTGGACTGTTATTATAGATTGGATTTGAATCAAATGAACTATCTGAACTATCTTCAACTGAAGACTCTGACGAGCTCATATCAATAAAAGCATTTACGTTTGGTTCGCTATATGTTTGAGGGCAATGAGTTTCGATTCCAACAGAATCTTGAGTTGCGTGATATATTTCAAAATGATCTTTTTGGGAATTTTGAATGCTTTTTTCCGAGTAGTAAACGGGTTGTAATAAGAGTTCCTTACTTAACAATACCTTTTTGGTCTACAATAACACATTCAACTTTTAAAAATATTTTTTAAAATAAAAATACTCTAAAATTATTCAAACATAAATAAGTTGGCTGACCTTTTCGCTTCCATTCCAAATAAAGACATTTTCTGAGCTCCCTGATAGAGAAGACTCGGGAGAACTGATATCAATAAGATTAGATATGTTTGGATCACTATGCGATTCTTTAACATTTGTTTCAATTTGTGAATAGTCCTTTCGAGCTGCGCGCAAAGATGAAGTCTCTTTAGAAAGTAAAGGACTACGGGTGTCAATTGGTTGGGGTGGACGCGGCGGAGGAGTCTTAGCTGGTTGAGGTAGCTAGGATATTAACAAACCTATTCAATAAAAACTCAACATAAATTAAAAAATTCAAAATAAAAGTTTGCTTACAGTTTTACGATTAAATGTGGCATATAACGAATGTCTGTCTGCTTTCAATGGATTAATCTTTAGTCGTGAATTTGGCATAGTGTTAATTCGTTTTACCGACACAACTGATTCAGTTTCTGACTCCTCCACTTTTTTACTTTCCTGTATAATAAATACAAATGTATAATAAAAACTATTGAGATTTTTTTTTAAATAAATTATTTAATACTTTAATATTTTAAGTTACCGTCATTTTCATTATGCCTTTATAACCATCTTTGACTTTCGTTTTTAGCTTTTTCTAAATATCCCAAAAATTACAAACTTTTTTCTAATAGTTACACAACAAAAATATATAATTTTGATAGCATAAATTAATTTTGATAGCATAAATTAATTACAGCGTCAAAACCTCAATTTTTTGTCTTACGTATTATTTATTAAGGATATAGAATAATTTAAAAAACACTTGATTAGTTACAAAATTTGCACTTATTTTTTTACATAACATCTCCAGCTCGTCAACCCCGACCATATTATTTCTAACCCGTCGTATATTATATGTAAAAAATTGAAAAGAAGTCTACAAACTTTAGATTTTAAAACTAATCTCGTTCAATTTTGTAGATTTTATATGTTTTTATTTTCTTATTTTTTAATACCCTCATTAAAAAAATATACTAAATATGCATTCACACTAGCATAATTAATATACTAAATATGTCAACAAACCAATATATTTTACCAACTATTGAAGTAAATTATAACTAAAAATGAAATTGAAAGGAATTTCACACTAAAGTTACCAAAATTTACATTTAGTAGTAAATATATGCTTTAAAATGAGACTCCAAAAAGGTTATATTGATATCTTTTCAATTCAAATAACCTAGATTTGACCAGTATGGTGCAAATATAGCAACACATCAGGGTTTAAAAAATAACTAAAAAAAAAACAAACAACTAAAAACCGTGGGGGTTATTAAAAAAAAACAAAAAAAAAATGTTTTTGAATTAAACACCTTTTTTTTTAAATTAGCCGTGTTTAATCAACTTTTTCAATTAAAAAAAGCATTAGGCATTTCACTTGAATTGAATTATATCTTCTATCAGTAATAGTGATATAATTCATCAATCGATACATCATTATTTAGTGTTCTGTGTATAAAAACAAGCTTTGCAGCTTTTTCTACCCCCATCTTGTTTCTTATGTTATGACTGAGTATGTTATATGCTATAACATTATCAATCGTTTTAATAAAAAAACAATATAAAAATACTGCTATTGAATATAACGTTGTATGTAATAAAAATAATTGATTGTTGTATGTAATAAAAATAATTGATTGTTGTATGTAATAAAAATAATTGATTGTTGTATGTAATAAAATTAATTGATTGTTGTATGTAATAAAAATATTTGATTGCACTTTTATGTATTAATATAAAAGTTTGTTCATTTTTCTTTTTCTTTGTGAATAAAAATGTCATCAAATAGGAAATTTTGACAAACCTTAATAATAACAAGAGGGGAGACAACAAATCATTAAAAAGGATTTATTTAACTTTTAATAAGTTGAATACTTAAAAAAAGTATTCAACTCATTAAAGTTAAGATAAAAGTTTTTCATAGTTACATTACACTTTTTGTTTTCACTAAGAGCTATTTGTATGCGTTTCATTTTGTGTTTTATGTTTTATATTTTTGTTTCGACTTGTTTCTTTACTCTCAAGTGAACTTGAACATGTTAATTGTTTTTTGGAAAACATGCATATATTTTGCCTGCATTTTAACATAGCATTTAACTTAAAATGTAATACGGATGAGTTATATGGAATAACGTATGGTTATATGGAATATTTATCGCTGTTTGAAATTTTGTTTTTTTATTTTTTACAACATAATATTACATAATAATCAGTGCTCAAAGCAGGGCGGGATCTGGCAGGATGCCATCCTGTCACCTTTTTATAAAGTATAAACCATCCCCCCACTTTTTTCATAAATCTCTATATATAACAATGATTAGGCAAGGCGGTATTTTTAATTTACCAAATACCATCCCCTTATTTTTTTCCTCCACTTTGAGCACTGATAATAATCAAGTAAAAATTTTTTTAGTACTGGCTAAATTATATTTTTTATTTTTTGATTTTCTAATTATATTTTTGAAAATTATATTTTTTAAGTTTGAATTTTTTTTGAAGTTTGTTTCATCCATTAATTATATAATATGAGGAGTTTTTAAATAATGACTAAATAAAAAACATCAACATATTTAAAACATTTTACTAAAAAGTTTATATTATGCGCAGGCTTTATTTTGCTGTGTAAACTGACTTACACAGATGTGGAGACAAGCACAGGCTGTAGCCTGCCATTTTTCCTGAAGCCTGTATATATAATCACATATATACAGCCCTTAAAATTAGGGTCAGCATTTGGCAATGAAGTGTTTGAAGTCGGCAAAAAATCGCTAACCTTGTTTCTTTGTTTTATGATAAAACCTGTCTCAAATTTTTTTGTCTCAAATTTTTTTCACTGACCTGATGCTGACCTCTAACAGATTAAGGTCAGCAGTAATTGCCAATTTTAATCTGTTAGAGGTTTGTTCTCATTTTTCTTAATTCAGGGGGTGTATATATGTATGTATACACATAAATATATATATATATATATATACACACACACACACACACACACACACACACACACACACACATGCACACACATATAAATATATGTATATATATATATATGTGTGTGTATATATATATACATATATATATAAATATATATTTATATATACATATATATATATATATATATATGCATATATAAATATATATACACACATAAATATATGTATATATATGTATAAATAAATATGTATATATATATACATATATTTATATATACATATATATACACATGTATTTATATATACATATATTTATATGTATATATATATATATATATGTGTGTATAGACACACTCACATATACAATGTTGACCACATCCCTGTAGTACCGTGCTCAATTTGTTTCTCCACTAGCCTTGTTCCTCAAGATTTGTGTGCCAGAGATAAAGGGTTGTAACCACAACTAAAAGCAGCCTCCTTGACTGTAGTGGCCTTCATGGCCTTGGGGAGGTGAATTAAAAAAAAAAATTAATAAATAACATATTGTAAATTTAATATACATGAGTAATTAGTTTTCAGAAGCATCGTTATGCTTTTAAATATTTACATTCATATTAAGTATTTACATGAAAGATATAGGTCTATTTGTAAACATATTCCTTCTTTACTTTCCTGCTGTAAATTTAAAGTTGTTTAAAAAATATTATTTTGGTTTAAATTGATATTTTTCAAATGGTTTATACCATTTGGTTTAAACCTATTAACCCTGCAACATATAAAAGAAAGTTAAAGGTACAGTTAAGCATATATATAAACAACTCTTATACTTATAGATATTTTAAGTTTTTTAAAGATAAATTATTTGTAATATTAGTTTAAATTGTTATATCTTTGGAATGCTGAAGTATTTTTTTTTTAAATTTAAAATCTATCAATGAATTTCTATATTTTTAATGATAGTATATAAAAAAAAAAGAAAATAGAAAGTGGGACTAGGGAATGGGGCAACACCTGCCCCAACCACCAGGATAAATTGATTTTCTCCATGGGACATACACCAAATAATTTGCTTATTTCATAATTTTGTCTGCATGCTGTTTTTGAAGTAATCAACATTTTAACCTAAATGATCAATATTTAAACAGTGCAAACCATCCAGTTGAGAAAAAAATACTGATATAATAACATATGATACATATAAACATCATAACACATGTAAACATCATATACAATTATGGATGTATACAATATATGTATATATATACATATTTACTTATATATGATTTATACATGTTATATAGACATGTAAATAGAGATGTTAATACTATATGATAACAATTTAAACAACCAAAATAAACTTGTTATGAATATATATAATAAATAATAATAATAAATGAATGCATATAATGCACATAAAATAATAAACCACATTAACTAAAAAAATTTAAAAGCAACCTTCATTTCTTTGACTTCTATTTCATTAACCTATAAAAACAAACAAACAAACAAAAAACATAAAAAATACCATAAGTATATAAAACAATGGTAAACATTTAAAATTAGAAAGAGGGTTCTTAATTAATGGGAGAGTCAGAAATATTTCTAAAATTGAATAATTGGGGAGAGTCAGAGATTAAAAAAAGCAAACAAGGAAAAACAACAAACTTTTTACTAACAAATTTCCTCAACATCTAAAATGGCTCCAGCAAATAAAATTAACACTAAAAGTAATCACTTAAGAAACTTAACACACTTTATTACAAAATAAAAATCCATTTGTGTTGAATGGTAGGGGTCCTAATAAACTCCAAGTCATAGATGAAGAAAATTGGAAAAAAAACTCAAAAATAATAAATGCTCTTCCTTGTTTATTTGGAAGGTGAGTGTACATGGTAAAACATGGAAGCTTGTTTTATCATGCCTACTTTATTTTATACTGCGGAATATTCTAAAATTTTGAAGAAAAAAATAGAAGGCCAGTTTTGTTGAAAGGCGGTTGTGAAGAAGCAGCTGTGGAATATCAAAGAATATGCTTAACAAATGTTGTCTTGTGAATTGTCATTAAAATTATGAAGTTGAAGTAACTACAGTTGTATTTTCTTTTCCAAATAATAGTTAAAAAAAAATTGGATTAAATTTGTAAATAGAAAAGATTAGACACCTACTAATGCTTCAGTTGTATGCATCAAGCATTTTTTAAAAAAATATTATAAGAAAGGTAGCACGAATCAACCTTGATTGATAAAAAAAACTGAAGCCTATTCCAACTAACTTCCAACCAAGATGCATATTAAATTATTTTACAAAGGTTCACCTTTGCCATTGCCTAAATGGTTTTGTCAAGGAAGAGATTGTTGTTTATCTTGTAGAAATATTGATGCCTAAAGTTGTGTAAAACATTTAAAATTAGAAGTAAGATATCTCAAGACATTTACTTGATTTTGATGAATGTAAACTGTGAAGAGTTTTTTGCTGGAGAGAATTTTTTTGCTAGCGATGAGTCTGGAAAATTGTATAAGGGAATGGTTTATTTTATGATAGTTGACCTTAAACAAAATATTCCATATGTGATGAAATCGTCACCTGAAAAAACAATCAATGTTGAATGATTGAAGGATGATATTTTAGAATATCTTTGTATGCTAACTGAATGTGAATTTAATGTTCGAGTTATTGTGTGACAATCATTCAAATGTTTCTTGTTTTGAAAAATCCTTTGTACATCAAATCAACAAGCCAAAGATTTGTTTTTTATCTAAAATCTAAAAAAAACTTACCTTTGTTTTGATGTTGTACATCTTATTAAAAATATCAGAAATAACTTATAAAATTGTAAAAAAAATTTTATTTCCAGATTTTAAGTTTAATGGATTTAAAGATCTTATATATGCGGTAGTGGTGTAGTGGTAGAGTACTCGGTTCATAAGCCAGAGGTTCCGAGTTCAATCCCCACCATATCCTTGGTAGTACCGCGCTCAACTCTTTTCTACACGCAGTGGCCTTGTTTGTCAAGGTTTGTGTTTTGGAGTTATAGAGTTGAGAGAGGGTTATAACCACAAATAAGTAGCCTCCTCGTCTGTTGTGGCCTTCTCAGCCTAGAGGAGGTGAATTAAAAAAAAAAAAAATGTGCTTCCAATTTTTGATGAAACTACATCTGCAGCAATTCACTCATATTTTCCTGATCCTAAAAGTAGTGCAGATTTTCTAACATTATTTAATAAGTGGTGGGATTTATCAAATTTTAAATATCAGTATTCAACATTTAGGTAATGCAGTCATTTCTGGAGATAAAAACCTGAACTTCTCAGGGAAATGGCACATTGGATTGAAGCTTGGCAATCACAAAAGATACCAAACTGTGAGAAGTTTACTTTATGTGTTCAGACAGCTGCAGCACTAATAAGAACACTTAAAAGTCATGCCTCGTTGATCAAGGACTTACTTAATAATGGATATCACTTTTTTTTAACTGGGAGATTTCAAAGTGACCAGTGAGAAAGAAGATTTGGACAATATAGACAAATGAGTGATGGAAGATTTTTGGTTGGTTTAAAAGACTATTTCTATTATTATTACTATTCTATTATAATCTCACTATTTCTAAAACAATATTAAAAATCAAAAGTATAGTCAAAGAAAGTAAAAAACTAGAGTATAGTTTTCTTTGGACAAATAAAAACTTATACTACGCATGTCAAAGCGATTACTTCTTCCTTTCCTTTCCCATTCCCGTGAAAAAACGGATGAGTGAAAACTCACCTTTATGATAATAGTATTTTTATTACTATTAATGTTTTTGTTATTAACTCCAGCAAGTTTTTTACCTCATATTAGTATATGTACTACTTGTAAATATACATAAATTTCTGAAATAGTTATTACACAATAACTATTTCAGAAATATATATTGATTGATAAAATATTTAAAAGCTAAATGTCTGAAATTTAGATGCTATTTAACATTGTTTAAATTCATAAGTCATTTATAGAAATAAAATATAGTCAAAGAAAGTAACATGATGAAAGTTTAAAAGTAAAAAACTTTGATGATAGTTTGAAAATGTCTCTTGAGTCAGAATATAATTTAACGGATTTAAAAAAATTTCTTCTAGATATTGATAAAGATCAGCAATCCTGATCATACTTATTTAACAGTTATTTCTAAGAGTGGTCTCACTTCCTTCACCATCAACATTTAACAGATATTTCTAAGAGTGGTCTCACTATTTCTTCACCATCAACATTTAACAGTTATTTCTAAGAGTGGTCTCATTATTTCTTCACCATCAACATTTAACAGATATTTCTAAGAGTGGTCTCACTATTCCTTCACCATCAACATTTAACAGTTATTTCTAAGAGTGGTCTCACTAATCCTTCACCATCAACATTTAAAATAAAGAAATTTAACTTACATCACGACAAGCTTTAGAATATTTGTTAAACCACTTTTATGACACTTTTCAGACTTTATTTTCTTCCGTGAGAATAAAAAGTTAAAACTTAGTAGAAGAATTGTTTCCAACATTTTTCTTAATTATAAAAGAGTTAACTCTACCAGCAAATCTGTTGATCATTTAAAATATTTTAAAAAGAGAAAATTTAATAAATTATATATAATATAATTTTAAAAACTGGCCTTCTATTTTTTTTGTTTCAAAATGCAAAATTTCCAGCTGTATAACTAAATTAAGCCATGGATAAAAAATATTTCCTTTTAACAAAACTAATATATATACACAGACCAAATTGTTAATAACTTGTATAGCATGTAATTTTGATATCATGTTAATTTTAATGTTTTTTTTAAAGTATAGTTAAATGATTTGAAATATCAAAATAAATACATTATATCAACCTTTTTCCATATTTTATAAGCTAACACAATAATAAAAAAAAAAAAAACATACATAAAAAAACTATAAAAGATATACGCTTCTTTTTTAAACTGCTAACTTAAAAAAACCTGCATAAAAAAATAAAAATGATTTTGCTACCAGCAAAATTTTTATTTGATTATTATACAAAATAATTATTTAAAAACTTTGGCATATAAAATTTGCCGAATGGTTACACACGAGCAGTCAACGCCTAAGGGAAGAAATGAAGTAAATTAGAATAAACCACTTTTAACCACTCATTTGGCTTAAAATTATCTGGTTTTATTGCAATATTTAGCTAGTCTTTTTGCAGTGTTTGTTGATATATTATTTATCTCCTGATTTTCATATTATTACTGTTTGTTGCATTCATTGCTCAGCTTTGTTTTAATTTTCACATGCACATTTTTTATCTTTATTATTATTCAGAGAATACTTTTATATTCTTCATTAAATGTTTCCATATATGCCGCTTACATTTTTAAGGTTTTTGTGCAACGTTCTTTTTCGCTATCATATATTTTTCAATTATTGTTATGATTATGGGTTTCGCGGGCTGCTCATATTCCTACACTTTTGATTGGTTGTCATAGTTTGAATGAGGTATCTATGACAGCGTTAGAGTTTATTTAAGGCTATTGTTGTTTTGTTGATTAAAAAAAAAATTTTGTAATGAGGTATACTGCTTTCTGATAATAATACCTATTTGGTTTTATTTCTTAAAATAAATTTATGAAAATTTTTTTTATGTTTCTATTAGAATTTTAATTTATTTTGTTTTCATGTTTTGTTTTGGTGGTATGGTAAGTTTTTTATTTATTTATTTTTTATTTTTGTTTGTTTAGTAAATCTACACTTTTTATATCATATCATAAAAAAAAATATTGGTGCTTTACAAATTTGGGGTTGGTTGGGTTTTGGCTATTTATAGTGAGTCCTTTTTCACTGCAGTATGGAATAGGCGTAAGTCACAGGGTAAAGCATAAGTGGCGATGACATTTGTCTGATGGGATAAACTAGTTATAAATGCTGATCCTTATGGAAACGCCAGTAATAATAGACACGACTCTGAGGAGATGTCTATCACTTAATCACTACACAAATTATGTTTACGCATTAGCATTAATGTTTTTTTTTATTTTGTAATCCGTTTTTTGTTTTATAAGTTTTTGTCTGGTGATATATATCTTCGTTCATATTGGTGTTTATAATACAATTTTTTTTTTTTTTTTTTTAATTTATTTTTATTGTTATTATTGTTGTGGGTGTATAGCCTGTCTTATTTATTTTTAAATATTCCTCTAATTAATCTTTATTTTTGTCTTGACAACTGTCAAAATATGCTTTGTCTAATAAATAATTCTCCTTTATTCTAATGTACTTCATTTCTTCCCTCAGGCGTTCACTGCTTGTGTGTGACCATTTGGCGAATTTTATATGCCAAAGTTTTTAAATAAAAATGATTTTGCTACCAGCAAAATTTTTAATTGATTATTATACAAAATAGATATTTTTGTAGTGAATTCTTAATTATTTTAAAAAAATATAGAAATCAGAGGAAATAAGGTGCTGCTGCTATACCTAAGGGGTACCTACGTTTATTGTTACCACCTATTTATAACTTTTTAAAGCAATTTGTTATAATATCAAAATCATCTATGGCTACAGATGCCATTACAATGCACTATAGTAATGAAAATGTAATTATTAAATTGAAAAATAATGGTTTAATAAATTTATACCAAGTTTATTAAACCATTAAGCATTCTTTACCATGCCCGATTGTAGTACTCTGCTCAGGGAGCCACATTGAGCTTTAGATATATAAGGTTTAGAATTAGTTCTAACAAAAACTAAAAAAAGAGTAGCCTCCATGACTATAGTGGCCCTCTCAGCTTTCTGGAGGTAAATACAGTAAAAAATAAAACAATAATAATAATAAAACAAAAATAGTTTAAAATTAAAAAATTGTATCAGACTTACTATATCTTTCAAATACCCATATTTTCCTTCAACAGATTTTTTCAATGCGCCTCCTCCTTTCTAATTAAGCAATAAATATTTGTGAAAACATATAAAATGTGCTTCAATACTTTATTGTTACTATTAAACTCAAAGTTAAACAATATTTCTTTCAAATAACAATAATTAACTTTCAATGCAATGCATTCCACAACCCTTAAAATTATAAACAAAAGAATATAATCAAAACAAATTGTTAATTAATAGTAAGTAGAATAGACTAATAGTAAGTATAAATTAAAAAACATTGAAAAGCGTGATAATAAATATAATCATATTAATTTTAATCAAGAGACTATTTTTATTACATTGTTAATATAATGTAATAAAAATAGTCTCTTGATTAAAATTATGTAACAAATAAACGTAACTGTTTTGTTACTTTATTTACTACTTTGCTTTATAAAACAAGCAATAATTTAAAAACACTTATAAAATTTATAACTATAATTTCAATTTTAAAATTTAATTGTAAATACACTATTAGCAATTATATATATTTATTTTAGAAATATACCTTCATTTTTTCTCTCCATTGGCCATAAATATCAGCATCATACTCTAAATATATGTATAAACACATATATGCATATATAGATACATACACACACATATATATAGGAATATATGGATACATGGAGATATATATATATATATATATATATATATATATATATATATATATATATATATATATATATATATATATATATATATATATATATATATATATATATATATATATATATATTTGTACACACACATTTTGGTCTTTATAAAATTAGAACATTCCTGATAAGTCCCAAAGGACATAACAATATTTACACGCACACACCACACATGCACACACATATACACATAGATAAATATACAGTTTTCTAGGTAAAATAGAAAAAATAGTTTTGATTAACCTTCTTTGTATTACTTGCTCAAACTTTTCTCTTTATCGTGCTCAAACTTTTCTCTTTATCGTGCTCGCCATTTCCTTACTTCTGATTCCATTCTCCACCTCTACAAATCTCTTATTCGTCCCTGTATGGAATACTGTTGTCATATTTGGGCTGGTTCTTCTAACGATTCACTTTGTCTTCTTGACAAAGTCCAAAAACGCATTGTAAATGTTGTTGGACCTGGACTATCTGCTAAGCTTGAACCTCTTTCCCATTGTCGTAAAGTTGCATCTCTTTCTCTTTTCTACAAATACTATCATGGTCACTGCTCAAAGGAGTTATCATCTCTAGTTCCATCAACTAAAATTCATTCTCGTTTTACTCGTCATTCAGCTAAGTCTCATTCGTTTACTGTATCTGTCCCTGCATGCTCTAAAAACTTTTATTCATCTAGTTTTTTTCCCGGCACTTCAATCCTTTGGAACTCTCTCCCATCTTCATGTTTTCCTGACTCATACAACCTTCAACTTTTCAAGTCTTCTGTCAACCGTTTCCTTGCTCTATAACTCTGTTCTTTTTTTACCTAGTAACTCCCAACTTAATAGTGGTTGCTTGCAGCCTTGTTGGGAGTGAATGCAAATTAAAAAAAAAAAAAAAAAAAAAAAAAAAAAAAACTTAAACCCTCAGTTTGAAGTTTTTGTATAAGGTTATTGCAGTATAACATTATTAACAACATTTTGTACAAGGGTTATTTGTGCAAATGATATTTGTATATTTATATAAGATCACATAAAACACTACCTGCATTTCTTTCAATAACAGCCTGCTCAAAAATATCTATCATATCAACTCCATCATTAAGCATATCCAATCGACCAGCGATAAACTTAAAATTAGAAAAACAATTTATAAATCAATTTTTAACACATTAATAAGATCCTGTTTAATTAATCCTGTTTAATAAGAGAACGCTTACAAATAAAAAGCAATTTTATACCTGCCTAAAAGACTGTAAATCAAGTATTTGATCAAGGAAGACCTTCATACTTCCAACACGAGTGTTTAAAAACCTTTTTTTTAAAAAGAGAGAAAAAGCCTCATAATAATAAAACCTTTTTAATTAATTTTGGTTATTATATCCATAAACAAACAATGGTCAAAATTAATTTTAACAGTTTAACAACATCTATGTGCAATTATAATACTGTTAATTACAATACCTATGTGCAATTATAATACTGTTAAAAACTTTTATTTTATCTTTTGTCTTCTTAATAATGGATATATTTTTAAAAAATAAAAGGAAAAAATATGAAAACATAAAGTATGAAAAAAATTGTGATATCAAATGTTTAAATAAAGTCCCCTTGTTGCTTGCATATTAAAAAAAAACAACTATTGCTATTATTATTTGTATTACAAAGGATGGTACAAAAGTTTGGTTTTAAAAGCATAGAGAGCTTTTCATATAGAACGACATTGAAAAGGCATTGACAAATTGCAGGATAGAGATGCAGGTAAATCTTTTTTATATAAATTATATTACTGCAGGCAAATAAATTTTAAAACATTTTACTTGAATATATCATTTTTATTAAATACTCTGCTTAGATGCATTGAAAAACACTTAAAAAAGTTCAGAGATGAGTAACTAAGATTAAACAGGCAATGAGTCAACATAGCTATGAAGAAAGGCTAATTAAACTTAACCTAACTAGTTAAATTTTGCGCTGACAAAGAGGCCACCTCATTTAAGAATTTAAAATCATAAAAGAAATCTACAACGTGAAATGATATGTTTGAACATTCAGAAGAAAACCAAGAGCTGGGTGTAGGACAACTTAGCAAAAAACCAGTGGCTTATCCATGGATAAGCTACTGGGTGTGAGACGATAAATTCACATTGCAACATATTTTAACTAACTAGATGCGTTAAATAAAACAAACAGATCTGCTAATTAAATAACATCTTTAGCAAAAAATTTGACAATCTTAACAATATGTTATAAATTTGGTCTTGTACAACATGATAATAATAAGAAGCAATCTTCTTGTTTTCTCTCAACACAAAACTCAGCTGATAAAAATTCATGATTGAGACAAGAGTGATCAAGACCAGAAAATAAATTCAGAACATTCAAGTCTGAAACTTTAATTTTAAAAAACTTTGTTGTTTTAGCGGAAATAAAATTGAACATGGTCAGCTCATAAGTTCATTAATTTAAAAGTTCATTTCTACCTAAATCAAAATATTAACGAGATACCAAATAAAAATTTTTTAGTTAAATATATTTAATTATATTTAATTTTAATACAAATAAATAATGATTAACTCTTACATTTCATCATCAAAAACAATGCGACCACCCTATGAAAAAAGTAAAAATCACTAAAATATAAATATATACATTTTTTATGGATTACCAAAAAGATTATTTACAAATAGATTGCTGTAAAAATACTTTTTTATAAATCACTGAATATATATATGAAAGAAAAGTTTTCCGCCCTTATGCCAAACCCTTAGTTGATGTAGTAGCACTCCTTTGCAGCAGCGGGCTGTAAGATAGTCCATGTATATACTGATATGATGTATGTATGTATTGCTCCAGCAACTTTCTATTTTTGTATGTCATCCGGGTGCATCTAAGGCTGCATTTATATATGTATATTTGTGTATATATATATATATATATATATTATATATATATATATATATATATATATATATATATATATATATATATATATATATATGTGTGTATATGTGTATATGTGTGTATATATATATATATATATATATATATATATATATATATATATATATATATATATATATATATATATATATATATATATATATATATATATATATACTATCAACCAAAGTTATTCGAATGGTTCTACTTTTTGATATAAGATATCAAAGTTTTACTTACTATTAGGAGAAAAACTGAAAACAAAATCTACCTGGATTATATATTATCTTCCTGCTTATTAGATTTACAAAAAAATTAATATAAAGTCCCATTAGATAAGTTTATAATTTACTTGCCTATTAATCACCCTTAGCAACAATAGCTGCTATACATATTCTTGGCTTTCTACTTAACAACTTATCCAATATGTCAAAGTCAAATTTATGCCACTAACTAATAAGTTTTTTCCACCTTATGCATCATTAGGCATTAATGTTTATGACATTACTTTTAATTCCTCCTATAAAAATCCAATAGAAGAGAGATTTTGTGATTGGGGAGGCTAAAATATTCTATTCAATATTTGATCATTCTCAAACTCAGTCAAATAACATCAACTTTTAAGTTATATATATATATATATATATATATATATATATATATATATATATATATATATATATATATATATATATATATATATATATATATATATATATATATATATATATATATATATGTATGTATTAGAGTGGATCGATTTTCATAGCAAAAAAAAAAAAAGTTTCAAAATCAATATTCCTGAGACACGAATCGATGTCTATTAATTATAAGATGAAAGTAAAAAAACATTTTTTGATTTTGTTGATCTTGAGGTTCCTCTTGTATTGAGGTTTATTTGAGCTTACGGTGGCTTGGTAAACAATGTTGTTAGACAAGCAATTGTTGTTCAGTGGACAAAGAGATTTTTTAATGCAATTGCAGGTTTTTTCTGATAACTTTACATCACCATGTAAAATATTTTTGTTGTGTGAGTTGATGATAGATTTAATATTTGGCATGCAGGAGTAGCTTATTTATTTGTTTCTGTTAAATATTTTGTGTAGGTTGTGGTCTTTAGGAAAATGCTTGTCAATTAGGGTTAAAAAGCGTTGACCAATTTTGGTTGTAACATTTTTACTAAATGGAGGGTTGTACCAGATTATAATTCGTTTGTGGTGATTTTTTGGAACATTTGTTATGCTTGGTTTATATGCCAACTTATAATCATATCACGATTGCTTTAGTGCGTCTTCATAAAGATGCGTCGACTTATTAAAAATAACTTCACTTGATGAGTTGGCGGACAATCTTAGCTCGATATTTTTTGGAAGATTGTTTATTATGTTAGGTGGATGGTTAGAATCAGCATGTACATAACTTAGCTTATTATTATTGCAATATGGTTGGAATGAATTTTGAGTAAGGTTAAAAGTTAAATCAAGGTAGTTAGTAGTAACAATTTTAACAGTAGTAACAATTTAAACAGTAGTAACAATTTTAAGATTACAATTGATAGAGATGTTGAGATTGTTGCGTTTAAAAACTTGAACGACACATTTTTTTATTTGATCCATTTGATGGCTATTTTTGTTCTTGAAAACAGCTAACCCGTCATCCTGATATAGACCGAAATCATTTTTGTTGTAAAACTGCGAAAGTTGATCTAAAATAAAAATCCCAACTAGTTCACAAACTTCCGCGCCATCATAGGCTCCCATGGTAACATCAAACAATCCTGCTTTTTACTTAATCCATGATATGCCACCGTTAAAAATGAAAGATTTTCTTGCATGATGTATAATGGATTTGCTTTGTTCGTCTATTGTTATATATTGTTCGGCAAAAGTAATAGCGTTATTAAGTATTTTTTCATCAATTGACGGATAAAAATCATTTATGTCAAATACTAAAAATTTACAAAGGTGTTTATCATCAATTTTTTGGAACCAATTTATTACATTTTGGGTATTTTGCCATTGGTTTAAACAGAGCCTGGTTCTTAATTCCGAGTTGATATTGGATAATATAAGCTTTGACAGTCTTCCTACCTCATTCTTTGCAGGATTTAAAAGACGCACAGTAGGGTTGTTTAGGAAGTTGGCTTTATGGTCTTTTAAAGTTATAAAACAATCAGCAGTTCCGTTTATCTCGATTCTATTAGAAACATCATGATTTTTTAAAATTAGCTTACTTTCTTTATTTACTACATTCATTAGTTTTGGATCGGCCTTTTTATAAATAGAAGTGATTGCGTTTTTTAGAAGGTGGTTGTAATCATCTTTAGATATTTTGTACATGTGGGAAGTTTTGTCAGCTGGAGTTAAAGTTTTATTAGATTTACGTAAAAATTTAATGTCATTATTTACTTTTTCTTGAAATGTGTTGTTGAGATTGCAAAATTTGATAGTTTTAACGAGATTTATTATATCTTTTTCAAATAGTGACATTTCTTTAATTTGTGGAGGGCACTTTGAAGATTTTATTCCATAGTTAGTATAATCATTGAACTTAGATGTATCACCGAGTTGTTTGTTAATAAAAAATAGAGCTTTCCATCTCATTCTTTTTATAAGAGCTTCAGTTTTCTAAAGTAACTGCAATATAAATTCTTTTTCAGATGGTATGGGTATATTTTTGATTGAGTAATTAAAGTTTATTTTTTCCATCTTTGATAATTTTGAGTAGAGTGCTCAACTAAATTTTCCTAAAGACCACAACCTACACAAAATATTTAACAGAAACACTATTAAAATAAGCTACTCCTGCATGCCAAACATTAAATATATCATCAACTCACACAACAAAAATATTTTACATGGTGATGTAAAGTTATCAGAAAAAACCTGCAATTGCATTAAAAAATCTCTTTGTCCACTGAACAACAACTGCTTGTCTAACAACATTGTTTACCAAGCCACCATAAGCTCAAATAAACCTCAATACAAAGATAAGGTATACATTGGGATAAGCGAAACCTCTTTTAAACTAGGTTATGCAAACCATCTAAAATCCTTCAACATAAAAAAGTACAAGAACGACACTGAGTTATCTAAGGAAGTATGGGATTTAAAAGAAAACAATTTTACATCTTCAATCAAATGGAATATAATTAAACGCTGTAAATCATACAATCCTGCGTCAAAAATTTGTAAGCTTTGTTTAAATGAGAAATTTGAAATATTATTTTACAAAGGAGATAATCTGCTAAATAAAAGAGGTGAAGTAGTTTCGGAATTTAGACATAAAAATAAATTTCTTCTTTCATTATTTGATAGCGGAGATTAGTTTTCCACTACGTCTTCTTGTACTAAGACGTCAGAACTCATTCTACTGTAGTTTGTAATTTTTAGACGGTTTTTTATATTTTTGATTTTGTACTTCATGGCTGATGATTGCCGATAGGCATGAAACTTTAAGTTCCATTAAAAGTTGTTTTTTCTATATTTAAATATATATATATATATATATATATATATATATATATATATATATATATATATATATATATATATATATATATTATATATATATATATATATATATATATATATATATATATATATATATATATATATATATATATATATATATATATATATATATATATATATATATATATATATATATATATATATATATATATATACATATATATATTTATGTAAACATATTGGGAATTGAACTCCGAACTTCTCATTTTATAAGCAAGCAGTTCCGAGTTCAATCCCCACCACGTCCCTGGTAGCACCGCACTCAACTTGTTTCTCCACGCAGCGGCCTTGTTTGTCAAGGTTTGTGTTTTGGAGTTACAGAGTTGAGAGAGGGTTATAACCACAATTAAATAACCTCCTCGCCTGTAGTGGCCTTCTCGGCCTTGGGGAGGTGAATTAACAAATATATATATATATATATATATATATATATATAGTGATGATATATATATTACTGTATACTTTTTTAAATTGTTAACATTTTTTTTTATAAATAATGTTAGTAAATAATAATTTCATTTTATTAAAAAACGTTCAGCCTTTTTTTCCTTACTTAATCAACAATAGCATAAAGATTAAAAATAATACCTTTGGTGTATCTATGAACTTCAATGCATCTCTGTATCCACCAATCAAATCAGCAAGTGCTTTTAAAAATAACTGTGAAACATACTTATTTAACGCTTTATCTGTTCGCTGAAGATGTTTGTGTAATCGCTTTGTGATCTTTGAAGGAAAACATTCCATATCTTTTTGATCAAATTCAATTTCATTAGTATCAGCATTTAATATGACAACCTCATTCATTGGCATTTGTCGAACTTTCTAAGAAATGATTGAACTTTCTAAGAAATGATTGGACTTTCTAAGAAATGATTGGACTTTCTAAGAAATTATTGAACTTCTAAGAAATGATTGAACTTTTTAAGAAATGTTTAAATATAATAACTTAACATATTTTGTAATTAAAAGAGAAGAATAAAATTAATCAAAACGACTTACTGCCATCATTGAAGAATGTATACCAAGCAAAAAAGGCATAGGTGCACTAAAATACAGTTTTTCATAAAAATCTGATACATTAAAGAAATATATTCAAACAAAGTCTCTTTTTTATAACATTCATACAAAGCTACCAAAAAAGAATACTTAGTAGAAATGACCCTATAAAATTTAGCACTTAGTGAAATGACATTACAAATATCTAGTAAAATATCTTAAATTTTTATTATTGAGACTTTTATAGTGTATGAAACTAGTTTAAATAAAAAGAATTATCAAAATTTTGTCAATTTTTTTAACAAATCAAAGTAAACTAAACATTGTCCGAGTAAAGCCTTTCTAGCAATTAGATATAAAGGGTATAGAGAAAAAAGAAATAACTTTTTGCAACTTTCTCAACCAAGAAAAGTTTATTTTTAGTCTCTAAATAGCTAAAGAAACTTAAAAAATTTCAAATTAAAGAATATTTTCAAATTCGTATTTTCAAAATTGTAAAAAAAAACAATCAAGCAATAGTTTGAAGATTTGACAGACAGATTTTTAATTTATGCAATAATTCATATAATTTCAAAAAAATTTAATAAATAAAAATGGTTGATAAAACCATTTTTGCAAGTGTAATTATAAAATAGAAACAAATTTACATACCAGCAGTAATCTAATAAATGCGGCGGAAGAATCGGTACAAAAATATGCTGCCTAAAATTAAAAAGTAAATAGCAATAATTGCTCAAAAAACTTCTTGGAAAACAATAGCATTATTCATAGAGTTTAAAAAAAAAATTTAAAAGGTTTTTTTAGCATTTAAAACTAGAGTAACAATTTAACCCCTATATAGCTGTTAAAAAGTTATTTAGCAATTTGCAAACAAGGGGTATCATAACAATTTAACCTTAATATAAGATAAAAAGTAAAGAGCATTAAGTACAAATTGCCAGAAAGGTTACTGGACAAAGATCATGCTCACTAACTTTGTTGGAAATTTGTTTACATATATAAAATATACAATTTACACAGGTCAACAACAACAAAAAAAGGTTTTTTGTAGCTGAGCAAACAATACATTTTTTGTATAGCATATCTCAATTTGATTTCAAATATGCAATCTTTTTTATCATGTCAAATTTTAAAGATATTTGGGTTCAAATCCTTAGCATTTGGGGTAATATCCCTAATATTGTAAAGAATAAATAAATTTAATCAACAAAAATATGTCAAACTGATTTTAAAAAAAGTGTATTTTTATGGAGATTTTAGAATAATATTTGTTTGCAATAAAAATAATAAAAATTGTTAAAATTATTTTAATAGTATTTAGCATTTTTTTAACTATATATTTTTTTAATAACATTTACTTTCTTACTTTTTTCAACAACATTCACTTCCTTTAATAAAACTTAGTTTCAATAAGATTAAAAACAATTATGTTTACTAAAATCTCAATAAAAAAGTGTTTTTTTTGAAACCCAGCTTGACCTACTTTAAAACAATTTTTTTTACCCTAAATGCTGAGAATTTGAATGCAAAATGAAAATAAAATGGTTGCATATTTGAATTCAAAATGAATTTAAAAGGCTATACTTAAAATGTATTTTTGCTCGACAACAGAGAAAATTTTTTTTTATTTACCTATGATATTATTATTAAAAACAATATAAATTTTATCAATAGCATATCAAGGTCATTTTATATACTGAACATTGTGTAAAAAACGAAGTCCAGACTATAAGTCTATAACGAAGTCCAGACTTATAAGTATAGAAGTTTATTATAAACATAAGTATAGAGAGGTATTTGATGCTTAATAAAAGTTTCTCAAGACCACATTTAGATTGGTTAAACTGCTGTGATAAGAACAAATCTAGATATGAAAGGATGTACTACTAAAGCAGATAGTAAAACCCATTTGAGTAGGCTATCAAGAAAGACAGACTGATTAAGAGCCTAGCAAATATAAACTATTTTTTAATTTAAAGATGTATAAGAACTTTCAAATAAATCTCTATATCAAAAAAAAAAAAAAAAACTCTTTTTTTTTCCAACATGCAGAGAATCACACTACAAATAATTTTCTGGTTATGCATGTATATGAGCATATATGAGCAGTTTGAAAAAAGATCATACAAGGATCCCTAAATGCCAAGACAAGTTGTGCTCATATTAAAAAAAATATTAAAAAAAAATACTTGGGCCAGAATTTTTTGATTAAAACTAAATAATGAATGCATATCAATAAAACAAAAATTTTTATTTTAGTCAAAGCTCATCTTCTTCAATTTTTGGTTCTCTGAGTCTTTATAATATACACCACAATCTGCAGACTGCATAATTTATTTCATGTGCATTTAATTCATAACAGTTTCATTATATGATGTCATTGTGGATTTATTTTAAGTGTTTTATGTCCAACAATCAGAAAATCATTTTTGCTCCAGGAATCACGAAAGCTCTCTGCTAACTTGCAAATGACTAGTATAAGAATTTCATTTAAAAACATATTAAAAAAACTGTAAAATACAGCAACAAAGAACTAAGAACTTTTCCCATCATCATGATCATGGGAAAAGACACTTAATTTTGAGATTTACTGAATAAAAGGAAAACATAATTTTACAGTGAGACAAAAGGGACGTCCTAAACAACTTGCAATATGCAATAAACAATGTAATAAATTAAATTACCACAACTTTGACTTACATCATAAAGTGTTATATAGAGTTTTAGGTTGATAACTAATTTTTACTTTGGATTTTGCAGAAGTAAAAGGTTTTATAGCATTTTTAATGTTTTTGCCAATTTTTAATGATTTCATTAAAAAATGAAATAAGTTCCTTGATTTCGCCTTCTTATTTATTTTTCACTTTTCAAACTACTTTTCTATTTTTTAGTCTTATTTTCGCATCAGTCTTGTTTTCTTCATCTGTGAAGAATTTAGGCAATAAGCTTAATCTAAATAAATATCAAAATTAATATATTAACATGTTTAAATGAAAAATACCATTGCATTGGATAGAGAAGAGCTACTGAACCATGTACCACAGCAGTAAGCTGCAAAAAAAATAAAAAAAATAAGTAGATATAAAATATACAAAAGTTTACAATAGAGTAAAAATAATAAAACTGATTTACAAAACAATATATTTGTATGAACCTGGTACAACTAGAATCATACAAATATAAGTTCTCTTCCACTTCTTTTTTTATTTATAATAACTAAGGCAATCCATATTGATAGAAAAATCAACAAGCCGAAGGTCATAAAGATCTTACATGCATGGATGATGGATGCATATATATATATATATATATATATATATATATATATATATATATATATATATATATATATATATATATATATATATAGAAAAAAAATATTTTTAGGGGTAGCTCAAGTCTCTATAACATCAGGCAGGCTCTTAATATTATTAAAAGAAAAAAAGTTCTTGAAAAGTATAACATGTTAAGTCTCAAAATAAGTGAAATTTTATAAAAACTTCTAAAATATTAATTATTTTATAAAAAATATTAAGAAAAAAATTTGAAACAACAATTTTTTGTAAAACTACATAATTTTCATTTTTAGTTAAAAATGTCATTTTCTAGGCAGTGAAGTCTAAAATGATAATTTTTTTTATAAAATGATGACTATTTTTATATAATTTCTTATAAAAATAATATACATAATATAATATATATATATATATACATATATATATATATATATATATATATATATATATATATATATATATATATATATATATATATATATATATATATACATACATATATATATATACACACACACATATATATATACATATATATATATACATATATATATATATATATATATATATATATATATATATATACATATATATATATATATATATATATATATATATATATATATATATATATACATATATATATATTTATATATATATATATATATATATATATATATATATATATATATATATATATATATATATATATATATATATATATATATATATATATACACACATATATATATATATATATACATATATATACATATATATATACATATATATATACATATATGTATATATATATATATATATTTTTTTATTTTTTTTATTTGCATTCACTCCCAACAAAAGGCTGCAAGCAACCACTATTAAGTTGGGAGTTACTAGGAAAAAAAAGAACAGAGTTATAGAGCAAGGAAACGGTTGACAGAAGACTTGAAAAGTTGAAGGTTGTATGAGTCAGGAAAACATGAAAATGGGAGAGAGTTCCAAAGGATTGAAGTGCGGGGAAAAAAACTAGATGAATAAAAGTTTTTAAAGCATGCAGGGACAGATACAGTAAACGAATGAGACTTAGCTGAATGACGAGTAAAACGAGAATGAATTTTAGTTGATGGAACTAGAGATGATAACTCCTTTGAGCAGTGACCATGATAGTATTTGTAGAAAAGAGAAAGAGATACAACTTTACGACGATGGGAAAGAGGTTCAAGCTTAGCAGATAGTCCAGGTCCAACAATGTTTACAATGCGTTTTTGGACTTTGTCAAGAAGAGAACGTGAATCGTTAGAAGAACCAGCCCAAATATGACAACAGTATTCCATACAGGGACGAATAAGAGATTTGTAGAGGTAGAGAATGGAATCAGAAGTAAGGAAATGGCGAGCACGATAAAGAGAAGCAACCTTAGCAGAAGCTAATTTAGCAATCGATTGTATATATGGTTTCCATGAAAGGTCAGTAGTAAGGGATAATCCAAGAAGACGTAAAGAGGAGGACTCAGTAAGAGGATTGCCATTCATTACTATATAGGAATGTTGACCATATTACGGTAGTTATTTGCAGTAAGCAACTGGGTTTTTTTAGAGTTGAAATTCACAAGCCACTGTGAACCCCAATCTATTACTGAAGTGAGATCAGATTCAAGATCAGCTGCTTGTTCTAGGCGATCGAAAAGAGAAGACTTTTTGTCAAGACAGGAGTATAAAGTTGAGTCATCAGCAAAAAGAGCTACTTTAGATGAAAGGTTGTCAGGAAGATCGTTTATGTAGATAAGAAACAAAACAGGGCCCAGGATGGAACCTTGGGGAACCCCAGAAGTTACTGGAAATAAAGAAGAGTGTTGGCCTTGAAGGATGACTTTAATAAACCGGCTAGAAAGAAATGATTTGATAATCTCAAAAACTTTCCCAGAAACACCATAAGAAGCAAGCTTATGGAGAAGACCAGCATGCCAAACTTTGTCGTTTTTTTTTTTTATATATATATATACAGGCTTGGTCGGGAAGCGGGAGCGATCGCTCTCAAACACTGACCACGGAAATTATATTTAGTTGCATAAAACTGGCCAGGTTTTTAGTCATTTTGAGAACATTTAAGTTTATGTACGAAACAAAGAATTTTTGTTTTACGGACATACATGGAAACATAACTAACTTGAATGTTCTCAAAACGTCTTTGTGCGAAAGAATAAAAAGAATATTTGCGAACACTAAAAACCCGCCAAACTAACAAACAAACTAATACTATTGGTTCAAAAAATACGCTGATTAAGCGAAATAAAGTTCTAGAGTATTCTGTTAAAATGTTTTAGAAATTGTATTATTCACGATTTGTTACGTTTTGAGATTTGTAGAATTGTTTTAAGAATTATTTGTTTACAAAAATAAATGTTTTAAATATATATTAATTAAAATGTTATTATTTGTTTACAAAAATAAATGTTTTAAATATATATTAATTAAAATGTTAAAATTTTAAAAGTTTATTATAAATCATGGATTTTATTGGTATATTTTTATTTTTTATTTTAAAAGAGATTGTATTCTTTATGTAAATGTAATTTTGTGTATTTGTTTTTTATGGTAATGTATCTTTTAAAGCAATTTTTATGATTTAAACAAAGACTTACAAAAATAATTGCGTTTTTAATGAAGTTATAATCGTTAAAGTTAATAAAACTAATTATGTAACAAACATATAAGAAGTTTCTGGTTACTAAACACAAACAACGCATACAAAGTAACTGAGGTCACGACAGAACACAAATATATAATAGCAAATATTTAGATATAAAGAAAAGTTTCTAGATATTGGTTTACTAACTCTAATTATTTTCGCTTAAGTTGCCATTCTTAAAACTCGTTATACTTTTTTCTGCTTTAAATACTAATTAAAATTAAAAAGCCCACTTACTAAACATCATTAGCGATATTGTGAAGCAGTTTCGCTTCCTGGTCATTAAGTGTTTTTAACCTTTTTAGTTGATTTCTATCTTGTTAATTTAATTCCTATAATAATTCAATGATTTAATTATTTCATTTGTTTTTCTTACTAAGAAGAACTTTACGGTTATGTTTCCACAATAAATCCAGAAATAGATCTGAAAATTTTAACTATGTGATTAAAGTATACTCTGTTAGCTGGGTTGAGATAAAAATAAAACCAACCTGTCTTTATGGATCCAATCATTTCTTTGGAAAGATTAAAAAATCTTGTTACTTATCTGATGAACTTAAGAGTATTGTTGATCTAGTATTACAAAGAAATGCCTGCAACCCAGAAAATATCTTGTTGAAAAGAATGCACATTAGAGAATTAGGTTTAAGGCAAACTATCAAATGTAGAGAATCATATGCTAATGAGAGGACTATTCAACCATTTAAAGTGCCAAATCTGAATTTTAATGATGTAGATTAAATAGATATGATTTGTTGGAAATATGTTAATGTTACTGAGCCTCCTTTAACAAGACACATCTTAAGTAATAATTTTAAAAAAAGATTTCCTCCATTTCTGATACAATTGATATTCTAAAAATACCTTGCCACACTCAAGCAGTTGAATGATGTATTAAGTTTGTATCAAATACTTCTACATCAGTTTGTGAAAATAAAGCAAGAGATGGCGTCATCCGAGCTAAGCTTATACCTTAGTATGAATTACCAAAGTTTGAAACTAAAAAACACTTAATGAATTCATTAAAATAAATATAAATGCCAAAATGATTTAAAAAAAAATGTTTTACTCCACAATTTAATTTATATTCTTTGTTACCTCTGTTAAGTCCAGGGTTCCATATTTTAGTACTTTTTTCCATTGTCTTATTTAAATATGTTATTATGGAAGAGTTGTTAGTAATGTTTTAAAACTGAATGTCCTTCCTGGCGTTAATCTTATTTGTAGTTCAAGGCTAAGTATTTTTATTGTGATACCATACTTAGGTTACAAGCTTTTTTTATGCCTACCACATTTAAATTGGGGATTGTATCAGAATTTTCATTCCCCAAGGTAAAGAGTCTTTGCCATGGCTAATGAGCCTTTGGTCTAGTTACCTAATTACTAAAACAAAGTAAAGGAATTTAATGACTATAAAGGAACCTCAGTTTTGTTAGGTTTTTTAAATAAAAAAAGTTCTGAATAAAACTTAGAACTTGTATATTTTAAATAAGGCTGTAGTTTTGCTGTTTGGAATTCTGTTAGTGATTGGACAAAATATTTCATTTTACTTTTTATTGTTTGAAATATCTTTTAAAAAAAATTTATAATAAAACAAACAAACTGAAAAGCAAACAATTTTAAATTTGACCATACTTATATTCTTCTGCCGTCAATGCAGAAAATTCAATTCTACTCTCTATTTCTGTATTATTAAACTTGATTTTACCTGCGATTTCTTAATAATCAACAAAATTAAACAGTAACTTATTTCATGTCAACATTTTCAAAAAAAAAAAGAAGTAAAAAAATTTCTGAAAGCAAGGACTAACAAGCATAAATTAAATAATGCACTGTGCTCTCCTGAGACCGCCAGGGTATATTTTGGTTTACTCTAATTTTTTTTTTTATTATTACTATTATTGGGTTAAGTAAAGTGTTTTAAAATAATTTTTAAAATCTAAACGCACTTTTTAACATCAAAAATTGAGATTTAATAAATTAAAATATCTATAAAAATTACGTCAATTTAAGTTTACATCATCTATTCAAAACGGATAAAAAGACTCTATGTTACCGTAACTTTTG